AATTTAATGCGGCAACATTTATTTCGTTTTTTAATTAATATTTTATAGTTTCTAATATTATGTCCTAAAATGATAATTTTATTTCTATAATTTGTAAATACTTTTAAATTACATTAAAAAAAAGAAGTGTTATATTTTTGTTTTTTCCCTTTAAATAAATAAATAAAAAAGTTACGGTTTAATAATTTAGTAAATATATCTATATTGTATTTTGTGCCCTCGTTTGAAATTTTTTTTATACTCTTCTATTTTTTTCAGAAAGATGTCATAATCACGTGACACAGGCGGATGGGCATACCAGTTTCGTTCCATAGTTAAAATTTGTATGCTTTCATCCACTAATTGATTTAATCCTTCAATTTCCATTTGTTATTTTATAGTGTTCCATGTCTGTCTTCCTTCTGTTGTCATTAATTGTTTGTGTAATTCGACATCATTAAAGGTTTTTATATTTCCTTTGTTAAAATCTTCTCGTAGAAAAAGTTATCGATATAATATATATTTTACTATATCAATATATTTTTAATAATTAATGCATAATTAGATTGCATTAATTTGTTTAGTTTTTTTCGTCTATCGTTACATATTTAGGAATATTTTTATTGTTCCATTGTTTTGAAAAATATAATTTTGTAAAATTGAAGTTTGTAAAGTTATTTTTGTAAAGTTGAAGAAATAAATTATATATATATATATATATATATAGATATATTTATTTATTTATTTATTTATTTATTTATTTGTACTTCAGCTCGTGTTACAGCTAGGAAGGGACTTGATTTACATAAATTCAAATCACACTTATCCATTCATACCTCCACCTATCCTAATATCCTATCATATAAAATCACATTGCCATATTTACAACATATTTATATAGTTTTTATATACATATTACATTCCTATTATTTATAATTTTACTTTATTGCCGTGTTATCCTATCGCCTATATACATTCTTATTTACTATTTTCCTATATAATTCAATACCAATTCTTATCTATACCAATTTATTTTTTTCTTATCTGCTTTCTACATTTTCTTCTTTCTTATTTATATTTATTTATATAAAAAAGATAAATTTCTTTTTATCTAATGTCACAATTATCATAATTGTAATTACATTGGATTATATTTTTAAAATAATTCTTTTTTTATAGGTTAATTAAATTTTTTTAGGTTAATTAAATTTATTCCCTACAAATTTTTTTCAATAGGCATAATCAAATTAACAGAATATAAGCATTAAAAAAAAATCACCTCTTATACTATATTTTTCAGTATGATATTTTTCTCTCATGGTTTAAAATCACATTATTCATTTCTTTCAATCCGATAATTAAAGAGCAATCCGTAAAGGCAGTGATTAAACGTTAGTTAAATAGTATGCGATTTACATCGCGGAATCATTTCCGTAAATACGTGAAACAGGAAACAGGGACGTGCATATGTAAATCCGTTTAAACGCTGATCCGTCAAAACGGAACGGGACAGAAACGGGGCGGGGAAGAAATGTTTTGTCCCCCCGACCCTGCAGAGATACGAATAATCGTGTTTCGAATTCAGGTTTCGCAGCAGCGGCAGCCGCTCTCTCCCGCTATTACCATTATTATAAGTTGATGTGACGTGACGTAATGGGAGTTAGAGCCGTATGAATGGGCATAGAGCAACAAGTTGCCACTAAAAACTGGGAGTGAGTTCGTGAGTTGAGTTCTGCTCGTTACACCTCTATATGTAGTTCTTCCTTCCCTATACTATACGCGGCTCTCTCCGCTGTATACCCCCGCTCGGCCTCCACGTTATAAACCCTCTGGCTTTTAAAGTATTCTTTTTAAAGCGGAACTGTCCTAACACACAGATGTCACCGACTTGTAATATTCCGCACGAGTGGATGCGACGACAAATCTCTTTACTTTCCTCCTTTTTATTTTATCGAAGTATTCGTTTCTTTTGTTCGCCTCGTCTTCTCTCCTGGTGTCCCATTTTTTTTTCTGTGCTATTGTGTGTTCAACCTGACTCTCTGATTTATTGCAACCTCAATAAACACGGATATAAACACTAATGGACTAATGTTTAAAGTGCCATATCTCTGTCATATCACTTGAAATTAAGAGACGATTGAATCTTCCGCATTTCTATGAGGGATTAATTTGTTTTACAAACAAATGGATATTACGATAATGATCTTAAACATATTGAGATAAGGAAGTCGATAAAGGGCATCCAGGAGAAGAGGGAAGGGAGGGAAAGAAAATAAACTACTAATAGTCTTTCAAATCAAATTTTGAAAATATGTACCTTTATATTACTTTCGATATTGAATTGAATGTTAATGTAAAGTTAATTGTGAAAAAGTTTTTTATATTATATTTTCAAAATTTTCTCTCTAAAAGATTGTTTGTTGATCTTCGCGAGAAAATCTTTTTTTTAATTTTCTATGTATATTTCCATAATTTTTGTTTTGTAAATAGATTTTCACACGGAAACAAATATAAATAATCTTAAAAACATTATTACAAATATCTTTGAAAAATATCGTTTATCATCTGCTAAAATAGTTAAAACTAGAAATTTCTTTTTCCATAATATCTACAAAAACTTAATATAACTGTTAATATAAAGTAGTGTCAATTAAAAAAAAAAAACGTATAATTTGTCCTTAAATTGAATTACAATCCTTTATTTCGAGGATTCATTTTATCTGCAGTGAACTACATTTATCTTCACGGCCGAGAATAGGTCAATGTAAATATAATATAGACGTTACGGAGAGACAAACCGTGGGAGAAAGCTATTAGTCATACGATTATATCACGGTTATAATCTCTACGTTGTCTTCTGTTTTTCTGAAACGAATTCTGATGACGTCACACGACACGCATTTTAGCAAACAACGATAACGATCGCGCATCCCTGACAGTGACCTTTGTGCATATTCAAGTTATTACCAGATAACAATTTATGGGAGAGATTTCGATAACAGTCTGACGACGCGATATGAAAACTTTTTTCTAAAGTATATTTTAGACACTGAAATTTGTAAAATTATGATAAAAAATTAACTGGTTATTCTTAAAATATTAAGAAGAGTAAAAGTAGTAAAAAAATATAATATAAAAAAAAGTAAATAATTGAGCCAAAATTAATACAATTTAACATTTTTATTTGTTTTAATCTTTTACATATGACTAATAATAAACGTGTGTAAAATTCACAAAATTATATCTACAAATTAACTTTGTTAATATTAACGTTACTATTAATTTGTTTCGTTAGTTAATATGTTAATTAAGAAAATATAAAGTCAATTATGCATTAATCCTTTTGAGATCCATTACTTTATTTAGTAAAATCTCATAAAAATTTAAATTTAAATCGTTGCTTCAGAATCTCATTAAAAAAACATTTGTTAAATATCGCCTAAGTTATCGGAATCGTGCTGGCTCATGTATCATTACAACGGATACTGTCCATTACAAATGATACAATTGGGACGTGAGATATCTTAATAAACGTGATAATAATTACACGATAATAGAGTTATATAATAATAATAATAATAATAATCTATTACGACGGTATACGGTTTCTCTCGGATTAATTAAATTAGAGCGTAATGTTTATAATGATAGCGCGCGCACGTAAACGGCCGAGACGCGAATGCTCGGGGGAACTACGCAAAATTTCACGATGTTGTTTTACGACGAGGACTCGCGCGGTATCTACGCGATATCTACGCGTTACGCTACATCGGATGGGCGGCAACCCGGCGATGCACTTATTATCCATCGTCGAATTATCACGGTTCATCCGGATGATGGACCGTTCCTCGTCGACCGACGTAATCTCGCGCAATTTGTCACGAGGGCGAACTTCGTTCGCGCGGTTTGCGGGACTTGCCCTGGGCTCGGCGAGTGGGCCGTCGTCTCGTTCGTACGGCGCAAATGCGGCACGAAAAACGTACGAATTGTGCACGGCGATCGAATTCCACCGCGGTTTCTTCACCGCCGTCGCCGCTCGCTTCGCCCGAGAGCGGAAGGGCGGGCGGGCTGTTTGCATTCCTACAATCCTAGAGATTACATCGTTGCGATCCGCTATTTGGTCAGATGGGAAAGTAGAGATCGACGATTGCACCACGAAATGCATCGCGATGCATTCGTCGTGATGCATTGTTTCGATCTAGTCAAATAATCTCAATTTCAATTTCAATCTTCGACGTAATAATCGTGCGCTTTGTATAATGTTTCTAAATTTTTAAATTTAATTCTTTATTATGTAACTGTATAATGTTAAATTAGCTCTCTCTCTCTCTCTCTCTC